CCCCAAAACCCCAAAACCCCAAAACCCCAAAACCCCAAAACCCCAAAACCCCTATATTACATTTGCCAGTTGAAGTATGAATTATTCTGCCAGATCTAGTCATTGGCGAAAATTTTAAGAGTATAATTAATTAAACATCTGGTTAGCTAAAGTCAGCAGGCCCGAAGGACTCCATAATAATGTTCCGACTTTGCTTAGTAGGTTTCTCTATCTGTAGCACATTGGGAGGATTCTTGGCGGCCTTTTCCTTCTTTCTTGATTTATTTTTGAGATTACCTCTTCTTAAAGATTTAAATTTGATAGTGTTCTTCTTCAAACAGAATTGCTTCTCAGGCTTCTGAGGGGCAGGGATTCCCATGAGGTCATCTAGAGCTTTCAAGGAATCTCCTCCATTGCTCAGTGTAACATCTGGTTTGGAGCTCCTGCTCTTATCCTTGTTCCTGGTGTTTGACTTTGATTTGCTGCTCAGACTATCTATCAAGGAGTTTTCTAGACCCTGCCTGATATTCACCTTCTTGTCTTTGTTCCTCAGAGTGATCATGTCACCTCCGATTACTGGAACATGGCTGATCTCAGTATTGATCTTATGCTTCACTGGCTTCCGACTAGTGGACAAAGTCTTGCTACCAGACTTTGGAGAAGTAGGGTGGAGCTCCTTTGCTGACTTTTTGTTCTTAGCTTTCAGAAATTTCTCGTAGTTCTTTCTTATTTTCTTTGGCAGTTCATGCACTTCAATATCATGTAAGGTCATATGATGCTCTAATATTTGGAGAGGAAGTCCTTCCAAAATCCATTCATGCTTGAGAGCATCTGTTGGATTGAGACGCTCTTCAGGCACCCATTCAAATCATTTCTCAATGAAGTCCAGAAAAGTATCTTCTTCTCAGTCAAGTACTTCATGCAATAATTTGGTATTTGGCATTCTAATCTTGCCGTTAGAGTTCTTCACTGGAATTGGAAGTCCATCACTATTGAAAAACAAGTGTGAGCGCATCCCTCTGTTGAGTAGTTCAGGTGGTGGGAGACCATTTACCTCCATCATGTACCCAATCTGATCATGCTCATTCTCTCCAGGAAATATGGGATATCCAGTATAGAGTTCAGCAAGGATGCAGCCAAAGCTCCACATATCAATTGAGTTAGAGTACTTGATTCCAAAAATAATTTCAGGTGCTCTATAGAAGCGACTCTGGATATAAGTGTATAGTTGTTCATCAACGAAGCACGAACTTCCAAAGTCAATAACTTTGAGGCCAGATTTGTTATTTTTCCTTCAATACAATATTCTCTGGCTTTAGGTCACAATGGATAATGTTTTCTCACTTCACATAGTTGAGAGCATAGAGAATCTGCATTGCAAACCTCCTGATCAAGCCGAGCGAAAGGCCTCTGAAGTTTCCTTGCTTGAGGAAATCATATAAATTTATACTCAAAAGTTCGAAGGAAACGCATAAATGATTTCTGAAAGTAAACACCTCCTTGAGCCTGATAATATTATTTTTGTCGTAAGGATCTCTATCCCTGAGATGAGTGAGGATTTTAACTTCAACTCCTGCTTGGTGTTGGAAGCTAGGATCATTTTTAATTATCTTAATAGCAACTTCTTCCCCATTCTTATGATCAAATCATTTGTATGCCTGGCCAAAACTTCCAGCGCCTAATCTGTGGAGGACCTCAAATCGGTACCCAAGATGATCATTGATGATGACCTTATAGTCACCTCTATCATCGTCATAACCACAGTTATTTTCCTCTAAGATAGTTCCTTTGATTTTAGTGGTGACTGCCTTTTCACCGACATAGTAGATTTCTCGATATCTCAAAATTTCCCCCTTCTCAAACTCAGTGAGAACATTCTTATAGATTCTGATAGCTTTCCCTGGTTTTAAAGGAGCAGAGTCCTGGGTATTGCTGTTATTAAGACTGCTGCCATATCTTCCACCTTGGGGGTTGGTCATAGCACTCCCTCTAGATGGGGATGACTTTGTGACCAAGCTATCATTCAATTTCTGCGGTTGTTTTAATTTTAAATTTTGCTTATTTTCCTCCAAGTTCAAATTCTCAATAGCTTTATCATACCCCTCTATCTTCTTCAGCTTGATAGGCTGGTTCTCAATCTTAGGAATTTTGTCTGCAATGGCAGGATCAAGGTGCTTCTCTTCACTCTGGTTCTTCTTGGCTTCCCTGGCATTGGTCAGACCAGTGCACTTGTTGGACATATTTGAATTATTTGAGTCAAAACCACTTCCAGAGTTATTACTATTCTTCACCTGGTAATCATTATTGAAGTTAGGCTGTCTGTTATTCATACTTCTACTGCCTGCACTAGAGATATTCGACCCAGGCGTTCAGTATGGACTCTCTTTGCTCTTCTTATGTTTCTTGAAGTATAGATGGTGTGGAGAGTATTTGGCCTTTGCTGGTTTAACCACTGTTCCAAGAATACACCTATTTCCAGCAGTCTTGTTCAAGTTTCCTACACCTGTAGACACTCATGCAGCTGTGTAAGCAAGCGTAGAATTTGTATCAGGCACTAGCTGCTGACTTTTATTAGAATCTCTTGGAATATTCGACTGATTTGGCCTCTTCAATGATGAATCAAAGTTCAAAGTTCAATTTTCTTGTCTCAGATTAACAGGTCCAGACATATTAAAGTTTGTATTCCTAATTTGCTGGTCTGGGATCTTAGAGTTATGCTGCTGGTCCAAGAATATCAAATGAGTTCTATTTCCCCGACTATGGCTCATATCTCTATTCTTTCTGCTGATATTTGAATTCTTTCTTATAATAACATTCGAGCCAGAATCGCTGCTTTGCTTTGTCCTCCCACTCAGCTTTCAGTAATTATTATACTGTACAGCTCTCTCAATAGGAATGCTGAAATGAGGATTATCGTCAGGCTTTGCTATTCGATCAGGCGAAATCTTCTTGATTACCTTTAGAGGATTCTTCTTGCCTATTTTCGCCTTAATTGAGATAGAATCCTTCTTCCTCTTTGATAGCCTAACTTTGCCGTCACCAGGCTTGAAGATGAAATCTTTCTTAATCAATTTGATTGACTTCTTGCTCTCCTTTGATCCACTTGGAGCACCTTGTTTGCTTCGTGCAGAATTGATATGACTAGAATTATGGTTGCTCTTCTTGCCAACACCACTATTCATGAACTTATTGTTCCTTCCATTGAGTTTTATTTTACTCAACTTCTTCTTCTTAATAGTTCCTCTGATCAAAGATTTCGATTTATTAAATTGATTAGTAACATTGAGCATCTTCTTAGAGCTGTTCTTGCCGAAGCCCATCATAGTTGGCCCATTAGTCTTTGGAGATACTTCCTTCTTTAATGTCTTCGTGCTTCGCTTATTAGAGCTTCTTCTAGAGTTCTTGAGTGAGGCACTTGAATTTTTGGATAGCTTCTTCACTCCAGATTTGTTCCTTACAGATTTCTCCGAGGTATTGGTCACGGCGGTTTGTTTGTAGAAAATACTTCGCAAATCCCTTAACTTAGCAAGTTCCTCAGTATTCAAAGTGTCTTTGCCACTTTTGGTACTTTTGCGCCCTGTGCTAGGACCTTCATTTCTAGCGTATTTTTGGACATCCTTCAGGCCAAGTTTCTTGAAGCTCTTCTTGCCACAGAAAGGAATTGACCTGGCTTCTGAGTCAATTGATTCATTATTTTGAAATTTCGTTGAACTTCTAAAACTACGATCTTTTCTGCAACTTGTTGGCTTCTCGCGACTCGGCATTAATCGTTTCTTGACCTTGGTCTTATGTTCCTTGCCCTTGACTATTACTTTCTGTGGAATGACATTGGAAATACTTGAGTCAGTATCCTGGCTATATTCTACAGCCTTTCTCGTGTTAGAAAGACTGTAATCAGTCATGTTGATATTTTCACAATTAAATCTTTTCAAATTTAATGCCTTTTTCTTGCCATATTTGATATTCTTCCGTTGGATGAGCAGAGATCTTTCCCGACGGGTTTCATCGTTAGAGACAACCCTGTTATCTATATCTGCGCATCAATAGGATTATTAATCTTCTTGACTCTGAAAGCTCTCAATTGTCCTCCTTGCGATAGTTTAAATTTGCCTAGCTTCATTTTTTAAATTTTATTTTAAACTGATTTTCATGCAAGTTGGGGTTTTGGGGTTTTGGGGTTTTGGGGTTTTGGGG